ATCATCAGGAGGAAGGTAATTAAATCGGTCTATTTACAAGTATGCTTTTCCACATTTGATACTGTTCTGTGTACTGATGATCTTTTGGACTTTTCAGAAAAGTTCAGCCTCCCCTTCAAAGGCTTTGGCATCGACAACTCCTGCTCCATCATCCTCTGCTGAGGCTACTTCATCCAAACCGGTTGGTGATGGGACCATGCTTAAAGATACATCTTCAGTCCCAGAGTCTTCATCACAACACATAGATGAGCCACCTTCTTCCCAGGGTGTCAATCCCCCAATCATCGAAACAGAAGGTAATTCAGTTTTTGATGTCTTACCTTTGCTCATGCTATTGGTTTCTGATTTGTTGCTCTTGAATTTTGCAGATACTCCTATGAGTCCGCCCGTTGTGGCAACGTCGTCTCGCTCGGACAAGGGGAAGTCCTCACGAATGGATGAGTCGCTGGTGGCAAGCTTGGCTGAGGGCGCGCCATCTTCTACGATTGTCGACGAGGTAGTTTTTCTTTTTGCTTCATTTCTATCATTTCTATTTCCACCTTGTTCATTGTAGTGATGATTTTTAATATTGGCAACCTTCTTTGCAGGATGCTGACAGAATTGTGCGTTCTATCCAGGATTTGTTCGCTTCTTGGGGGCAGGTCCAAATGCCTCGCCCTGCTCCATCTGATTGTCCTGCTGCTTCTTCAGAGGATGATTTGAAGTTCTTGAAGGAGTTGGTATTTGAGTACGTATCCTTCATGGATATGGACATTGGAAGGGCTAGTGCTGCCAGACACAAGGATGAACTTGAGCACTTGAGTGCGAAGTTAGAGCAAGCATTGACGCTTCCGTCGCCCAGTCTTTCTGCCGACTTTAAAGCGACATTGAAGGTCATTCACTTCGAGGTCCTTTCTATGCTGGCCAAGAATACTGAACTAAAGGCCAAGCGTACTCAATATCTTCGAGCTGTGGCTGAGAAAGAGTCTTTACGCATGGAGATCAACAAGGCTAAGGACGAGTTGAAAGAAATCTCTTCCGAAGTCATGATTGAAGACTCTTTGATGGTTAGCTTGGCTACTCAGATGAGGGAACTTCAAGCTAAAATGGACGATTGCAGGGCGAGGATGGCTGCTAAAAAGCGCAACGCCTCTCAGGGGATTGAGCGAACTAAATCCTTGGTCGAACAGTACAAGAAGTTGGAGGTTGATGATGATGACGTTGCAGCTGAGTTGAACATCACTTTCTCCCGGCAGAACGGGGATTGGGAAAAACTTAGGGAACGAATTCGTTCCTTATGGGGTAGACTGTAATTAAGACATACGATGTCTTTTTCTCTTTTGTAATTTTTGTTCATTATTAACGAACATTAACTTCTTGTGCATTTATTTGACGTTTATTTTCTAATCATCAATTCTTTAATCACTTAACTGCTTTGCACTAAGAATCTTGTCCATTCCCTTTTGATATTCCCACTACTGTTCCCAAGACTTAGGGCCATTTAATTCCGTCTATTAAACAGAAATGTGGCTGTTCGTATTCTGTCTCTTCATCTTCACCCCCTATAAATGTTTCGCATTTTTTATCCTCTATCTTCATCTCTTCATTTTCTTCTTCGAAATCAATTTGCTGCCATTTCTTGGCATTCTGATGATCAACCAGATCCAAAAATGGACTGTCTAGTCCGTCCGCCTTATATTTACCTTGATGTCACCTTTGGTATGGGAGGTATAGGAAATATTTTCTGGCCAGCAGCGAAGTTTTTTCCTGCAAAATTCTTCCCATCGTCTCTTTGTTCTTCACAAGGAGTCAATGATGGGAGGCAATTTTTGGGCTGCATGTGGGCCACTTTGCTTGCTGAGAATGCTTCTCATCTTGCCTGCTGAGAGTGTTTCTTAGTCTTGCCATTGCAGCGATGCATTTGGAAAGGTGGTGAGGTCAGTACACCCTCTCACTCGTCAACGCCACCATTGCAGCGATGCAATTAGGAAGGCGGTAGGGCCAGTACACCTTCTTACTCGTCAATCCCACCATTGTAGCGATACATTTAGGAAGGCGGTATGAAGCTTACTCAGCGATCAACCGGGAGATACTTTAGTTGCATTTTGTAGTACGTCCATCATTTGTATCTTTTGTATTCTTGTAATGAACGTTTAATAATAAAGAACTTTATTCGAACGTATTTCGCTCTGTCT